GTCCCCGGGCAGGGTGCCGTCGGTCGGTCCCCGGGCAGGGTGCCGTCCGTCAGTCCCCGGGCAGGGTGCCGTCCGTCAGTCCCCGGGCAGGGTGCTGTCTGTCCCCAGGCAGGGCACTCTCTGGTGTTTTCCCTGCTTGCCCTCTCTCCTGGCCCTGCCCGCTGTCCCGCACTGCTCCTGTCGGGGCCAGGGCAGGGCGCTCCCATCCATGCCTGGGCTGTGCGAATGCTCTGGGGCCGTGCCCCAGGCGGTCACAGCATCTCTGATCTCCCACCATGGAGCTGTCTCTGAGGCAAGGGGGAGCACAAGGAACTTCAGGGGTTCAGGTAACCCAGGAGTGCTTGAAAAGCATCAGGGAGCCCTAGGGCTCCTCGGGGACCCTGTGAGGGTTGTGCTCTGGGAAGGCCGGGGTGCCCTGCTGGGCTGGCTCACCGTCCTCAGTGACACTGTTCCCGTCCTCAAACCCCACGGTCCTTTCCCTGCTCTTCTCTCTAAAGCGGCGGGAGATGCCTCTGCCCGCAGCAGGCTGGGCTGAGCGAGGCCTGCACGGGCAGCACGTCAGGCGTTTCCCTCTCGCCGACTCTCTCTCTGCAGGAGGACTACGCCAAGGCAGAGGCTGATGCATCTAAAGGTCAGTGGTGGCTGGCAGGGGACTGGCCTGTGTGCATGGCCTGTCCGGGCAGACCGGGGCGGTCCAGGGGCTTTGCCATAGATCCCCTGCTCATCCGCAGCCATTGAAGCCGATGGCCGGGACATGAAGGCGCTGTTCCGCCGGAGCCAGGCACTGCAGAAGCTGGGCCGCCTGGACCAGGCCGTCAGCGACCTGCAGCGGTGCGTGAGCCTGGAGCCTAAGAACAAGGCCTTCCAGGAGGCCTTGCGTGCCCTGGGGAGCACCATGCATGAGAAGGTGAGCGGGGAGGTGGCGTGGGGGCTGCTGTGGCCCCCTTTGGGCGTTGTGGGCTCAGGGGAGTGGTGAGGGCTGAGCTGCTCTTTCTGCTCTGTCTCAGATGAAGACTATGTCCTGTACGGACTCGAAGGTAGAGCAGATGTTCCAGATCTTGCTGGATCCTGAAGAAAAGGATGCGGACAAGCAGCAAAAGGTCTGAGCTTTGGGGAGCGGAGGGCTTGGCTGGAAGGCAGGGAGGGGAGGGATGGTAATCCCAGGTCGGCGGTGCTGGCTGAGCAGTGCTGCCCAGGCGAGCCTGGGCTTCCCGCCGGCAGAACGTGTTCCCCGGAGGTTGGGGGCGGAAGGCAGGGGCCTGCGGCTGCCCAGCCGTCTCCCACTGGGGAGGTTCCCTGCGCACGCTGGGCTGCGTTCTGGTGGGCAGGTGCCCCAGACGTGTCTCTCCTTTCCCAGGCTGCGCAGAACCTGATTGTGCTGGCGCGAGAGGAGGCCGGAGCAGAGAAAATCTTCCAAAGCGATGGCGTGCGGCTGCTGACGCAGCTGCTCGACACGGCCAAGGCTGACCTGATGCTGGCGGCCCTGCGCACCCTGGTGGGGCTCTGCTCCGGGCACCGCTCCCGGGTAGGTCCTCTGAGCTGTCACCTGCCAGGCCTGAGCTCGTGAGAGCCTTGTTGTGACAGGGAACCATCCTGATAAGGTGCTGGGAAGCACTAAGACTTCCCCAAAGCCTCCAGCAGACAGTTGTGCTTGTACCTGCAGACCATGGCCATCCTGGCGGAGCTGGGGGCCCCTCGTCTCTCGGCGGTGCTGGGTGTGGAGCACGAGCAGGTTTCCCTGGCTGCCTGCAACCTCCTGCACGTGATGTTCGATTCCCTGAAGGAGGGGCTGCAGAAGGATTTCCGTGGCAAGGAGGATGCGGTGGTGCTGGGTGAGTGCCTGCTGCCCTGGCTGGCTGGCGTGGGGTGGGGAGAGCGCCCTGGGGAGGCGCTGAGCTGCAGCGGGTTCTTCTCCCACTGCCCGCCTTGTCAGTGCTCCCTGCCGCCGGGCTGGGGCTCTGGGCCAGGGTTGATGACGAGGTTGAGCAGGGAGGCAGGAGCCCCTGGTCATGGCAGCATCTTCTGCCAGCCTTACCGCGGCAGGGATGAGGCCTGTGCCCAGGGCACTGACTGCTGGGCACTGTCTCTTCTGGAAGATTCCTCCAAGGACCTGAAACTGCTGATCAAGCACCTCCTGGAGCTGCTAGCACTGGAAGGGGCCTCTGCGCACGGCCGCGACAACGCCCTCAACCTGCTCATCAAGGTGGTGCCCAGGAAGTCACCGAAGGAGACCAACAACAGCATGAGCCTCTGGGTGATCGACCAGGGTGAGCAGAACAGCCTGCAGCGTCCCGCTGGGGCATCGCACCCCTCTGCCTCAGGGTGCCACGCGCCTCGGCTCTGCCTGCGCACCCCGTTTTGCTCCTCACTGGGGCACCTGACCTCACGTTCTCCTAGGCCTGAAGAAGATCCTGGAGGTAGGAAGTACAGTGTGCGGCGCCCCGGGCAGCCTGCCCGTGACGGAGAACAGCCGGATGAGCGCCTCGGTTCTGCTGAGCAAACTTTACGATGACCTGAAATGCGATGCCGAGAGGGAGAACTTCCACCACTTGTGCGAGGACTACGTGAGGTGAGCCCGGGCGTCCCTGGGGGCGGAGGGGGGGTTCAGTCGCACGCAGCCGGCAGCCCTCTGGGGAAGCAGCAGCACCCCTGTCCCCAGACCTTTTTGCTCTTCGTGATAAAAGCCGATTGCAGACCCCCCCGAGACCTGCTGTGTTGGGGTTCAGCGGCGGGGCTGCAGGCGGTGGGTGGGATCAGCCTTACCCTTCCTGGTGGTCTTCTCCTGCAGGAGCTGGTTCGAGGGGCACGAGCTGGCTGGGAAGCTGCGGGCCATCCAGACGGTGTCGTGCCTGCTGCAGGGCCCCTCGGATGCTGGGAACAGGGTGCTGGAGCTGGAGGGGATCATGGACAGCGTGCTGTCCCTCTGCGCCTCCGTCTGCGAGGCCCACCAGCTGGTAGCGGTGGAGGCGCTGATCCACGCTGCCGACAAGGCCAAGCGTGCCTCCTTCATCACCGCCAACGGCGTCAGCCTGCTCAAGGAGATCTATAAGCACAGCGAGAGGGACAGCATCCGCATCCGGGCACTGGTGGTGAGTGTGGCAGGATGGGAGGAGCGGCTGTGCCAAGCCCTTGGGTGCTGCAGGGCCCATGGGTCCGCAGCACTGTCCCTTCCCTGCCGGGGGGCTCTCACAGGCACCTTGGGGTGACCGTGGCTCTGACGCTCTGCTCCTGGCTGCAGGGGCTCTGCAAGCTGGGATCCGCTGGAGGCACCGACTTCAGCATGAAGCAGTTTGCCGAGGGCTCCACGATGAAATTGGCCAAGCAGTGCCGCAAGTGAGTGCCGCCGGGCGAGGGGCGGGGGGGAGCCGGGCAGGGTGCCCCGCAGCTGGGCTCACGGGGCCATCTCCCAGGTGGCTCTGCAACGAGACGATCGATGCGGGCACGCGGCGCTGGGCGGTGGAGGGCCTGGCCTACCTCACCTTCGATGCGGATGTCAAGGAGGAGTTTGTGGAGGACAAGGCAGCGATGCAGGCCATGTTCCAGCTGGCCAAGGTGGGTGCCGAGTGCTGCGGTGGGTGCCCTGGCACCGGGGAAACGTGCCAGAGGGCTTTGGGGGCTCACGCTGCGGGGCTGGGGTGTGTGCAAGGGCCCAGCGGTGCTGGGTGGGCTCGAGCCCTGGCCCGTCCTCTCTGTTGTGGATGTGATGGGTGTCCTGTTATCGCTGCAGTCGGAGGACAGGAGCGTGCTCTATGCGGTTGCCTCCACGCTAGTGAACTGCACCAACAGCTACGACCACGAGGAGCCGGACCCCCAGATGCTGGAGCTGGCCAAGTACGCCAAGCAGCACATTCCGGAGCAGCACCCCAAGGTGAGCAGGGCACGGCCGTTCGCAGGAGCTGCCGGGAGCCCTGGCCCTGGGGGAGAGCGTGCGAGTGAGCAAAGCCCGGGGTCCTGGGTGGGGACAGGGCGTCCTTGGGGCCTTCAGGGGTGAGGCCAAGCGGTGAACCTGCCTCTGGGACAGGACAAGCCGGAGTTTGTGAAGCGCCGGGTGCGGAAGCTGCTAACAGCTGGTGTGGTGTCGGCTCTGGCCTGCATGGTGAAGAGCGAGAACCCGGCGCTCACTAACTCCTGCCGGGAGCTGATCTCCAGGTATGGGTGTGCAGGGGGGTGGCAGGGAGGGAGCTGGGTTCTGAGGCTGCCAGCGGCCTGCCCGTGTCCTGCCGGCAAACTGACGTGCCTGTGGTGAATGCAAGCTCCTAGGAGCAGAAAGGGGGTGTCCGGGAGTCTGGTACAGCCTGGGCCCGCTGCAGGTGTCTGGGTGCTGTTGGGACCCGCTGTGGCAGGTCCCTGCCTCCAGCTGTTCCCGCTTTGTCCGTAGGGTGTTCCTGGCGCTGGTGGAGGAGGCGGAGGACCGGGGCGGTGTGGTTGCGCAGGGAGGAGGCAAGGTGAGGGGACAGGCCTCGCCGTGCCGCTGGCCCGCGCCTCGCGGCGGGGCTCTGGGGAGGGCTGGGTCTGCGGGGGGCGGCTGTGGTTTGGCAGGGGACCACACTGGCTCCCTCGTACAGGAGACTCGGGGAAGCTGGGGCTGCGGTGACCTGGCTGCTCTGTCTCCGTCTGCAGGCTCTCATCCCGCTGTCCCTGGAGGGCACCGAGGTGGGGCAGACCAAGGCAGCTCAGGCCCTGGCAAAGATCACCATCACCTCCAACCCGGAGATGGCCTTCCCCGGAGAGCGGGTGAGCGTCGCCGCTGCGGGGACAGGTCTGCCAAGCAGCGGCCCTGCAGCGGGGCCGGGGCTGCAGCAGGGGCTCCCCCC